CCAGGCCACTTATGTCCTACAAAAATGTTTTGCCAAGTAAGATCCAGCAGACTGCTGGCATCTGAGAAACCTAGAGCACTAGTTCGAAGTTCAAATCCCCATGGCAAATCTTTTGAATCCGAATTTACAGGTGGAAGTCAGAAACTGCTGGTTAGCAGGCTCTCCCTTGATGATTTATGCTAAAAAAAATAAATTTTTTTCAATGAAATTTTGAGGTTTATCTATCACTGAAGGTGTGTTACCTTAACTTTCCCTTACACCGGGGAAGACGTTGGAAACTTCCTTCTGATTATTTTCTCTCTGAAGGGCATGGATAAATATCAGGGGCTTGGAATGGGCTGGATTCCTGGGGAAATAATGAAACGAACCCATACTCGCATTTCTTGGATAGTTCTGGGGATCTATGCTGAAATTTAAGAGTGATTCCATTTCCTTTGATTACTATTGGGTGATGGGTACAGATTTCTCTTCCTCAGGAGCAAAAGTGAATGGCTGACACTTCTGGACCCATTGTGGGGAGATGGTCTTAGAAGTAAGACCCACCTAGGGGCGCCTGGGTGGCTCAGTCATTAAGCGTCTGCCTTCGGCTCAGGTCATGATTCCGGGGTCCTGGGATCGAGCCCCGCATCGGGCTCCCTGCTCAGCGGGAAGCCTGCTTCTCCCTCTCCCACTCCCCCTACCTGTGTTCCCTCTCTCGTCTCTCTGTCAAATAAATAAATAAAATGTTAAAAAAAAAAAAAAAAGAAGTAAGACCCACCTAACTTGGATAACGGTGTGACCCTTCATCTCTTTCTGTCCCTTAGTAGGAGAGCACCTGTATAATTCCCTGAAGAAGTGTGGAAGCTAATGAGCTTGAAGGCAAGGCTGCTGATCTTGGTGCTACCAGCATCTCTAAGGCACAAGGCATAAGCAGTCATGACCCTTGTCCCCAAGCTCCAGTATGACTCCAGCAGCAGAAACCAAGATGCCTTTGTACATACTTCATTATCTTTTTGCTGATTTGTTAAAAAAAATTCAAAACGGCAATGGGAAATTATGGGTCGCGGTGATAGGGCTTCAGCCAAAGATGACAAAGACCTCTGCACCCAAGCTAAAAGACATTTTTCTTTTTCATTAACCATGGGGGAATAAAAAGGAAAATAATGCCAATATCTGCCTTGACTTGGCTAGCGTATCACTAGCTCACCAGTCATGTACATCAGCATGGGAAAATCTTTAGATACTAAGGCACAGCTTTCATGGAATTTTCCCAAGTCCTCACACCACGCCTGAGAAATGGTGTCTCTGTGCTTCCATGTGGTTTTTGGTGACCCAGGAGTATTTACTCACTTCTGGGTAAAACTGCCAGTTGTCTTAGGCTTGGAGGTGCCTTGTTAGTCAGAGAATGACATCAAATGAAGTTGTCACTGTAAGTGCTTGCAGAATTAAAAGTCACACTGAGGAATTCCTTGGGCAAAAGGCATATCACCTAATATGAAATGGCTTGGGCTCAGCAAGTGCCACCCTCGGGGTCCAAAGAGAAGCTCAGCAGTCACTCAGATGTTGTTCCCACATGTCTAGCCCCTAGGAGCCCTGGGTTCCTGTTCCAGCGACACCATTGACCTGGGAACCCCAAGCTCCCTGTGAAACCCCAGCCATCCCCCATCTCAGCTTCTCCATCTTTTAATGAAAACAGTTGGACGTGGTCTCCTCTAAGATCTCATGCAGGTCTAAGAATCCAGGTCCCAGAGAGTTTTCAAATTTTAGTTGGTAATTTTAACATGGAATTGGCTGAAGAGGAGAGAGCATCTGAAACCCAAAACATGGAAAAGAAAGGCAGGGTTGAAAAATACATTCTTTGTAGAACAAGTATGTAACCTTCTTTCTGGTCTGAAACACACAGAGCTGAGAGAAACACTTCTGGAAGTTATTCACAGGAGCAGATGGTCAACATGGCATGGAGGTGAGGAGAGTCGGCGGTGCCTCCCATGTGCACCCCCAGCCCACCCACGTCCAGTTACCATTGCAAAGCTGTAAAGCTAAGACCAGAAAACATCACTGAAGAAACTCAAGCAGGGCATGTAGAAGGTGAGTGGTCTATCATTGGGGGTGGGGCGGAAGGCACAACTCACATTATCATTGATTAACTGAGTGATTTTAGTCAAGTGAATATTGATACATGGCAGGAAAAGCATGAAAGTAAAATGAACACATACGGGAAAATTACTATTAACATAAGTGATAACATCAAAACATCTGGTAAAATGCAGTTAAAACAACAACACAAATGAAATGGAATGTAAAACATTTTCACAGTATTCAAAGCTTTTGTAAAAAATTTAGACTCTAAAAGAGGAATGCTACGTGAGGGGACTAGAGGAAACAGGAATTTCACCCACGCCCTATGTATCTGCTGGTGACAGATCAGAATGGCCACGAAGCTATTCCCAGGGGTCACCCAAGGTGTGCTTCAGAAACAGATGGCCCAAGCCCACATCTGCAGAGTTCCAACAGAGCAACTAGTTACTTGGGAGTCTGATGAGAAACACACATTTTCTAGCTTTGGGCACTGGGGTTTCTATAATTTACAGATCCGAATGAAAACTGGAGCTGCGACCAGATTCTGCCTTTGGGAGCCCTCATTGCTAAGGCACCGGCAGAAGAGCCAAGTGTTACACGAGATAGTCTAAAAGTGAAGTGTTCTTGGGATTCTCATCTCTCTAAGAGAACTAGCAATCTTCAAAGATTGAGCTTAGTTCTGCCAATGACTTTGCAGGATTCCACCCAGAATGATTTTTAACCTTTACAAATACGACCTTTGAACTAGCTAGACCAAATTACCAAATCACATACAGACCTCCACTTTTGGAAACAGATGACCAAGCCGATAGTCTACACATTGGTTTTGTCGTACCCTTTGTTGAGAAAAACAAAGGTTTGTGACAAAAATGCAGCTTTGGGCCCATAGCCTCTCCTTTGTGCCCTCAAATTGCCGATGTGTTATAGACAAAGATAGTGTGTCTCTCAAATCCGCGTGAAGCTCACAGGTCCTGGGACTGTCTGGTTGGGGTAAAACCTGCAGCTGCAATTCACACTTCCAGTTTACTGTGAACTCGTGCTGCAAAGGTCACTTCCTACCTGAGAATTCCCACTTAGAGAGTTGCACAACACAGCCACCCATTCTCCCGCAGTCTCTCTGCGGTAACTGCGAATACCCCTACACAAACCCCTTCCTAAGGCCCTGCTTTGGACAGAGGCCTGTTGCATGATGCTCTCTGTCAAAATGAGCAGATACACATGAGCACTGAACTCTTGAGTTCATCAACCCAAGCAATCCAAATGAAGGCCCAGATCCATGCATTCATGAAATCATTCGGAATTTCAGTTAACAATAGGGAAGTAGAATATTTCTAATTAACTAATATATATACACATTTTTTTTGAAAAATCATCCAAAATTACAGGCAAATCACTTAAGATCCCCAACACTTTATGATTAAAGGTCAGAGAGAACCAAAAACAAAAAGTGTTAAATAGGATCACTAATTGTGAGAAGCTAATTATATCAGGATAACCCTCGGGTAGGTAATGAAGTTGGCATGCTGATTTGCAGACTGGAGTCTTCAGGAGTTAACAGAATCTTCCGCTGTTTCTCTGTCAGTCCAGGGTCCTCGGGGGTAACACCTCCCAGCATCACTGCAGCTTCCGGATTGGTATAAACATTTGCCCAGAGGGACAACCACTAACTCTCACCACCTTCAGGTGTTACAGAGAATGAAGAATCGGGCTTGAGGAGCAAATTAACATTAATTGCTTAGAGTGACTTCCTATACACTGAACAAGAGGAGTAAAGTTGCTTATGTGAATGAGTTTATATACATCACCTATCAAACGCAAGGGTTTTAAGAAGCATCTTAGGGCACTCAAGAAAACCTGCAGAGATGTGTTGCCTTTGAAACTCACTCCTTGGATGGGGACACTTTGGGCTTAACTTTCCCTCTGCAGAAATTAAAAAAAAAAAAAAAAAAAGCTTTGTTTTTAAGTGCAGAGGACAGGCAGGCTGGTTGTTCTGAATTTCTTTGATCTACCAGCAATCAGGTTGAAAGGAATCCACTTCTTCGCAGGAAAGGAAAGCATGGGGAGCACTGAGGGTTTGACTGGCACTGGGTTGGGGCCGGGGCAATCCAGAACGCCTCAGAAAAGGGGGCCACATGGTTACGATATCCGGCAAATCCACCTCACACCCCAAATGCCCAGTGAGAGAGCTGCCCCCTGGAAAGTAGCCTCAAATGCACCATAAGAAGACTTAAAAAAAAAAAAAAAAAGTTGAAAAGTAAATAGGGTTTCTGTCGTTGTTGTTCTTAAAAAAAAAAAGTGAAATGAGCGGACAGATGAAATTAGAACACTAAGCTCTTCACCCAATTACAATTCACGCTAACTAGCAATTTGCAGGGCTGTTCCTAATGTTTTTTTGTTTTTTTGTTTCTTTAACTACGTTTTTTGAAAACCACTAACCATTGCCTTCTCCATCTGAAAATCATGGTCTCTCTCATGTCATGGGTTTGGTGCCCACCGTGTTTCCTTTTCCTCACACAAAGGCAGGCACGTGCGGCCCTTCACACATGCGGCGGTGAGATCACTCCCGGAGGCCGATGTTAACTGCCATTTACACGGCATCTGACACTAGCTGATTCATGTCAAAAGATAATCACATGGAAAAGCAGAGCTGGCACGACCTCCCTACGTTTTCACTACTATATAGTGTCCTTGTGCTTTTTCCCCTGCGCTGACTTTCGGGAATTGATCTCAAGTTGCAAGTGTGGTGGTATGTTTCTGTCTAAGGCAGACAGAAAGAGAAGCTACTCTGGAACTGAAAGCAGCCCATCTTACCAATAGCAGGAACATTCTAGTTCCAAAGGCCTAGATTAGCTGATAGATCCATAAGCAACTTATAACAACACAAAGAAAGTTGCAGAACTGAGTTTTTGCTGCTGTCTCTTACTTTTTGTCCAATCTCGTTTTTGGTTTTGTTTTTTGTTTCTTTGTTTACTGGCAAAATTTTCTTTTTTAGTGGCTGTCTGTGGTTGAAATGGTTTGCACCTGCTTTTCCTCAGTGGTGTGCTATTCCACGCTGTAGATCCTAAAAGACTTCCTAATCTAAATGGTTTTCCTTATCGGGGCATGCGGCTTTAAATATTGGCTATACTGGGTCTGAAGTGTGGCTATGGAGCGGAAGGCATGGGGACGCTACCAGAGCAAAGCCAACTGGATTACAATGTCCTCTACCAACCAAAGGAGCAACTGAGTGTGAACCCCCGGCTTCCAGGGTTGTCTGCTCAGCCCCACCCCTCACCCCAACCCACGGCTCCCTCCCCAACCCACCCAGGGCGAATCACTTAAAGACTGACTGAAAAGTGGGACATTCATGATTTTTCATTTTCTTCATGAAGTTTTTGAATTCCTTGTTTTTCTTGTCCCACTTGTGGATGGCCGTCAGCAAGTACTGGCTCTTCACTTTCCGGCCCATGATGAGGAAATGGTGGCTGAGGTTGTCCAGCTGGTGGCACGGGCAGTCGGCCCCGTTCTTCAGGTACAGGACCAGCTTCTTCAGTTCCTTCTTCTTGATGGGTCCCAACTTCAGGGGTTTCTTCTTCTTGGGGACAATCTTTTTGTCACCATTTTCTTTTTTCACTTCTTTGATTTTCATCCTCAGTGCTAGAGATGGTGCAGGCAGAGAGGGGAAGAGGAGAGAAGGAGGGAGAAAAAGGATTTTAGAACACGGTTTTCCATCTAAAACAATAACCCAAACTTAGGGCTCAAGAGGAGGCTGAAATGAAAGGCAACTGGCAAGTCAAAGAAAGAAGCAGTTTTACAGATGAACACCAAAGTCTCAGTTCATCTCTATGTTCTGATTTTGCCCCCTAGTTCCATGGTGCCTAATGGTAACTCAGTAGTTGCCCTGGGATGCCGTGGGAGTCTCGAATACATTTTCAGAACCAAATCATAGGGGCACCTGGGTAACTCAGTCAGTTAAGCATCTGTCTTCGGCTCAGGTCATAGTCTCAGGGTCCTGGGATTGAGCCCCGAGTCGGGCTCTCTACTCAGCGGGGAGTCTGCTTCTCCCTCTATGCTCTCCCTCTCTCTCTCTCAAATAAATAAATAAAATCTTTAAAAAAAAACAAAACAAATCATATTTCTTTTTTTAAAATTCAGTGACTCAAAATATCATACATACAATGCTTTAAGAGAAGGGGATCATATATTTGAATATAATCCATATACTCTAACACTAGAGATCTCAGGATTCAAAGAAAACTCACCCCAAGTTTTGCTTTGTTTTTTTTAAAGAGAAATCCATTGGTTTAGATTTTTAACATTCAAAGGACCTAAAATTCCTTGAAAGTTGGGTCCTGTAAACCAGACCAACAAAATCTATGTGTGCACATGCAGCAATGGGGAAATTTAAACAGTGCATCAAACGGTCATGCTTGAGTGCATCAAAAATCAGTGTCCAATTTCTGCACTGGAGAAATCACAATCCCCACCACTGCACCTGTAGGGAGTTTTGACAGCAGGTACTGCTAATGTTCCGTCAACCACAAAGCGACCACTGACAGGTGCCACAAATATTCTTTCCACTGGGTAGACTCACACAGGATCAAACTCTGCTTTGAGTTTTTGACAGAGAAGTCCAAGTGAGGACCTCCTGGAGTCTGACACGGGACGTGGGCACAGCTCTCTGCAAGGAGAGAAACAGCCCATCTACCAAGCCAGCCTTCCCTTTTCTTTGTCTATACGGACCTAAGTTAACATTATTTTAATGTGAATGTATGGGCAGGAAATGTAGTGATGGCTACACAAGGTCTGTCGGTGAAGATAACTAAATTCACGTGGAGGCATTCTATAAGATGTAAATGCACTAGAAATACAGCATCACTGGGACAATCAACATCCCTCTCAGGCTGGCCAGCCCAGATAGTTCCAAAGAAGAGGAAAATCATTCTCCAGATGCTAGTCACCAGATAATTTGTGCATCCTCTGAATTCTTCTAAATTCAAAATTAGTAAGCCCCTCTCTTTTTAATAACTCAAAGCTCCCACCCACACTCCATGAGGAAAGGCTTGAATCTGAACAGAATAGCACTAGCTAACAATTAGGAGAGCATATGGCATGCCAGGAAGTGTGCTAAGTATTTTCCATGAATTTCCTCAATTAAACCTAACAACTCCATGAGGAAGGTATAATTATTTTTCCCATTTAATAGATGAGAAAGCTGTGGCATAGGGGGTTAAGTTTACTTGGCCAGAGTCACTAATCCTCAACTTAAACCCATGTCTTAAATGTGCACTTTGAATCACTATGCAGTCCATGCTGACTCTATGGCTGCAAAATTCTTTATAATGAACCTCATATTTAGAGGCCCGGCTACAAGGATCAAGAAAATAAGGGGGAGGAGCTCGGACTCACTTCCTGGTTTCACCCACATTTCAAAATGACTTCATTTACGAAATGGTAGAAGAGTTTCTCCTGCTTGAAAGAGCCTGCTCGGGCAAAGGGAAAACTGCATTTGCAAAGGCTTTATTATTTAGTATTTAGTTGATTAGAAAACACACCCTTGGCTAACCCGAGAATAAGAAGGAGGGGGGAACATCCTGGAAACAAACCTTTAATGAATGTGTCAAAGTCAGTAAATTAAACACTCCCACTGCTTTCTTTTTCTTACAAAAAGAGTTCCAGATTTTGCAGTCTACTTAATCTCATATAATACCCTAGGCCTGGGATCCCTTAAGAAATGCCTCCCGCCCAAGGGCAGCAGAAAGTTCAGGAACTGGGCACTAAGCAGCAGAAGGCTCTCGTGGAGGATTAACCTTGACCTTTCAGGCTGGTCCAGGCTTCCCAGCACACATGGGAGTGAGTTGAGCACAGCTTCCCAAAGAGTTCCTTTCTTTAAGCTCTCCCCCACCCAAACCAGCCACTGCCCAGTGCTTCTGATTATGCTTGATTCCCACCCCCACTCTGGACAGAGGGTAGTGGGGACCAGCAGGCAGGAGTGTGGCAAACAGAGCAAGAGAAACCACCTGTCCAGGGCGTCACCCCAGACGTGCCTCCACAGGCCAACACCTGGTTTAGCTTCCCTTGTGGGCTTACAAATGTGGTGCCTGGTGGTTCGCTTGGGAAAAGACTTCAACTGTTCTGGTCTGTGGCTCACTGAATGAGAAGAGTTCTCAGTGGGGTTGAGTAAGAGACCAGCATGAGGAGACTCACTGCCCGGGCCTAAGCGAAGTCAAGTATCCACCTCTGCCTCCCCTCCACAAAACGAAGACAGGACTGGGAGAAACCACATATCAGAGAAAGGCAGGAAGGAATACTGCAGGAAGGTAAGCAGTGAGAACAATTCTACTCCTTTCACAAGACTCTCTAAATAAAGGCGCACCACAGTGTTAGATGAATCCCAAGGTACCTCCCAAAGTCGAAGGCTGAGAACCAAGCATTGCTATAGAAACAATCAATTACATCACCAGGTGAGATGAGTGCATGCCCCAACTGGGAATGTGGGTCCCCTCTTTTTTTAATACATTTACTTATTTATGAGAGAGAGAGAGCATGGGGGGGAGGGGCAGAGGGAGAGAGGGTCATAAGCAGACCACACTGAGCACAAGCCCAACACTGGGCTCGATCTCACGACCCTGAGATCAGGACCTGAGCCAAAACCAAGAGTCAGACACTTAACCAATTGCACCCCCCAGACACCACATGGGCACCCTCTTCTCTGCAGATTAGTGAGCCATCAGTTTTCGAGTGCCAGACTCTACAGATGAGCACAGGATAGGCTGCTCTGTGCACAGCTCCGGATTTAATGCTCAGAGTAATCACGTTAAGAAGGCACCGTTATTATTTATTACAATCAAGGAGAAGGACTCAGGTTAAGTAATGACAACCCAAAGCCAGAGTATGTAAGAGATAGACTCAGAATTAAAACCCACACTTAACCCCAAAGACCACACTCTTTCCTACTACACCATGACTGGGTTTAAAATGATATTGCTTCAGTGGAAACTATTTCACTCTTTTGATTGTGTTGCTTTTAATCACAACTCAAATCAAAAATTAATGTTCCTTTGCCATGACCGTGTAAAGGAATTTAGTTTACATAGGTGGGGGGACAGCGAGGGGAGAGGGGAAATCAAATGATGGAAATGTGTTATGCATTAGGCTCTTTATTTCTTGCCATTTGGCTCAGTTTCTTTTTTGAGGTGGGGAGAGTAAGGGAGGAGGAGGCACATATGGCCAGAAATTACTAACATCTTTCCATCTTTTAAGGGTTTATTTTAGGGATGCAGATTACCAACAATGTTTGGATAGGCGATTAGCCGTCCAAGGTTGATTTCTCTGTGCCTTGTGGATATGTGTACAGCCCCCCACCATACAACATCCAGGGGCTTCTGGGACAGGGGTGGGTGCTGGCCCAGGAGCAGCCTGGAACTGATCACCACTTCCTCTTCCCCTACCAGGCCTCCACCATGCAGACAGAGCCTGGACCCCAGAGATTTGCCCATAGACTGTGTTCACAGTTTGCAATGCAAATGGCGGCGTGGGCAGGCAGGAGAAGCCGCAGGAGGAGGGAGCTGGGACAAGAGCTGGGGCACTGGATAGAGTCCTGGGTCCTGGGTTCTAACTGTGTGACCACAAAATCTGGTTTTGAGCTCCCTGAGTCTCAGTCTTCCATCTGTAAAGTGTAGAGTGCTGCCTGCCTTCTGGCCTGGGCAGCACTACCAACCAGAGGGCCCATGCTGGGCAATACTGGGGAGCCAACAGATCTCCTCTCTGGCACTATCCTCCACCCTGTGCTCAGTCTTCTCCATCTTCACATGCTCTTCTCACCCTGGGGGAAAATGCTACAAGTACCTTGGGCCCTTGATCTCGGCTACCTGGAACACCTGGACCCTGAACTAAAACAAAACAAACAAACAAAACACTTCAGGTTTTTTTTTTTTAGCAACAACCTAACATCTTCTGAGCGTAGAATATTACTCCCACCTCTCACCTTGCTGGTCACTGCCAGCAAGAATTCAGAGACCCAGAAACTTTGAAAGCCCAAGTTAAGGTTGCGATGAGGGGTTGTCTGGATCTCTCTCGTCAATCTTAAAATAAATAACCCCTTATCTTCAGGTAGGCCCTTAAAATTTCATTCCACTTTTAGTCACCTAAAACCACATTTTTTGCTCAGAAAAGATACTTCCTTGGTAGCCTCCCCATGGGGCTTGGCCATAGTTCTGAGGCTAAAATGAGAACAGGAAACTCATTACACCCAATTCAAACCCACACTCTCTTCAAAACCATCTCTTCCTCCTGACCCTCTTATACTAATGGGGCCACCATGCGTCCAATTACCTACACAGGGTGCTTGGTTGTATGGCAACCCTTGGCCAAGAGCTGGCCATTCATACAAACAATAATGTGGAATTGCTCAGCCGGAGTACAAGAAGGATCCGATGCGAAAGGTGGGAAAGCAAAGTTAGTGATCAGATTTGTGACTCGGCTGATGACAGTGAAGAGTCAAGTACAGAGAAAAGAGAGAATGAGGGCCCTCAGGGAGCACCATCACTGGGGAGAGAGGAAGGGTTATTGTGAAAGTCATCAGAGGCACATATGGAAAACCAGGCAGCCAAGTGTCTCAGAAAGCGCCGGGGGAGGGCATTTCAAATAGAGGAAAT